TTGAGTTTATTTTCCATGTAGGCCTACTCCTTGAGAACCATTAGTTGTCATAGTTTGACCATGTCCACTATGCCACGCAAATGAAAACAGCTTCAGAATTACAATACTGATTTTTAACTGATCTGTTTCGGCTCTCCTAAGCCTGATCTCTATTTTATGTCAGCTGTCATTCCAGTGACGTGTTTGCCCAGCATTAGATTTGTCAACCACCATTAAGAGGAAAAGTAGATGCTCAAATGTGCATGTTCAGCGGCCATTAAAACCAAAAAAGAAGAAATGTGTGTGTGTGATGCGCGAGAACCAGTGAGGTCCCATATTCTACCAATGTCTTTATACACTAGCCTATGTGCAAATACACTACCAGTCAAAAGATTTTGAACAGTAAGATTTTTTTATGTTTTTTAAAGAATTCTCTTCTGCTCACCAAGCCTGCATTTATTTGGTCCAAAATACAGCAAGAGCAGTAATATTGTGAAATATTTTTATTATTTAAAATAACGGCTTTCTATTTGAATATATTTCAAAATGTAATTTATTCCTGTGATTTCAAAGCTGATTTTTTTCAGCATCATCACTCCAGTCTTCAGTGTCACATGATCCTTCAGAAATGTATTCAGAATAAATGTTCAGAAACATTTATTATTATTATTATTATTATTATTATTTAAAACAGTTGAGTTAATTTTTTCAGAATTCTTTGATGAATACAAAGATCAGCATTTATCTATATGTGCAAATACACTACCAGTCAAAAGATTTTGAACAGTAAGATTTTTTTATGTTTTTTAAAGAATTCTCTTCTGCTCACCAAGCCTGCATTTATTTGGTCCAAAATACAGCAAGAGCAGTAATATTGTGAAATATTTTTATTATTTAAAATAACGGCTTTCTATTTGAATATATTTCAAAATGTAATTTATTCCTGTGATTTCAAAGCTGATTTTTTTCAGCATCATCACTCCAGTCTTCAGTGTCACATGATCCTTCAGAAATGTATTCAGAATAAATGTTCAGAAACATTTATTATTATTATTATTATTATTATTATTAATAATAATATTTAAAACAGTTGAGTTAATTTTTTCAGAATTCTTTGATGAATACAAAGATCAGCATTTATCTAAAATAAAAAAAAACCTTGTAGAATTATACACTGTACCATTCAAAAGCTTGGAGTCAATATAATATTTATTTATTTTTTGGGAAAGAAGTTATAGAAATGAATACTTTTATTTAGCAAGGATGCTTTCAATTTGACCAAAAGTGATGATAAAGACATTTATAATGTTACAAAAGATTTCTATTTCAGATAAATTCTGTTCTTCTGAAATCAGCATATTATAATTATTTCTGAAGGATCATGTGACACTGAAGACTGGAGTAATGATGCTGAAAAATCAGCTTTGAAATCACATGAATAAATTACATTTTAAAATATATTCAAGTAGAAAGCAGTTATTTTAAATAGTAAAAATATTTCACAATATTACTGCTGTATTTATACTACTGCTCTTGCTGTATTTCGGATCAATTAAATGCAGGCTTGGTGAGCAGAAGAGAATTCTTTAAAAAACATAAAAAAATCTTACTGTTCAAAAACTGTATCTTATAGACTATATGTATACACACACACAGGTTTGTTTTTGTGAAAAGTGGCGACATCCCATAGGCGTAATGGTTTTTATACTGTCCAGACCGTATATTCTATTGCCCTACACCAACCCTACCCCTAAACCTACCCCTCACAGGAAACTTTGTGCTATTTCAGATTTTTGTGAAAGTGGTTTCCACTGCAGGTCCCATCAGAATGATTAAACAAGACAGTTGGCGCTCCTTAGTGGCAGTCCATTTAGTGTGTTCTTCTGAAAATCAACAGAATATTATTCTAACGTTAGTATGCAGTTCCCATTTAGTTCTACCTACGTGCAGAGTTCAGTTACAGCCCTGCTCCAATCCACCTGTCTGTAATCATCAAGTTCTTGTGAAGATCTTAATCAGCTGGTTCAGGTGTGTTTTATCTGGGTTGGAGAAAACTTTGCAGGAAAGTAGATCTCCAGAACAAGATTGGACACCACTGACTTACAGTATTTTAATTATTAAGAATAATTAAGAAAATGTACAAAAATGTTCCGTATGTTATGTTTAATAAATAAATTGATAACTTATTCCTTCATTACATTTTTTGTAGTGTTATTTTTTTTTTCATAATGCCACCCCTTTGTTACCCTGTTAATAATTTTCTACAGTATCCACCCTGTGGATAGATGACAGTTATTGAAACTGGATGTAAAACTGGAAAGTTGAGATTCCATCTGACTAAGCTAGAACAAACCTCTTTCAGGCAATGTGTGAGGATAAGCAGCTTCCAAATGCTGTTGGGAGGATTTTCAAGTCGTGACAAGTGACAAACACACAGTGAGTACAGAATGAGAGTTATATTTTGTATTTGTAGAATAAAAATAGTTGTTCATCTTTTGAGGTTTATCTTCAACTATTTATGCATCAACCAAATACTTCAATGTGCCACTGTCATTGTAGTACTATAATAATAGTACACTGTTTGGTGATTATCACTGTGATTCACTGTCTGCTTGTACCTTTTAAACAGTGCTACAGTATGGCTGCCAAAAAAAGTCTCTTTGGGGAGCCCAGCACACCCGCTGTCAAGAGGTGAGAGTTGGGAGAAGTGTGTATATATATATATATATATATATATATATAATAAAAACAAATACAAAGAGTACATTGTTAAAAACCTAGCACATGTGCTTTAAACAAGATTTGTAAATGATTTATAATTTTTTTTTTATCATGGACACTTTGATTTGTATAATTCTGTAATCGTGAAGCCCTACTGTGGATCAGTTTTTCTGTGACTAAACCTTCAACACTGGATACCAAACCAAATCTTTTACCCAAATCTTTCTACATCTGAAGCAAAGTAAAGAGAGAATGCTTTTTACTTCTTTCAAGTAAAAAAAAATTATTCATTTTTTATTTATTGATTTTGAATAATGACCTTTTGCTTTTGATTTAAAAAAACTCAAAAAATATTTAGGCCTAAATTGAGGATTTGTGTATTTGAATTGCATATAAGTTCCTTATAGAGAGTTCCCTCACTCTACATTGCGAGAATCGCATGTGGGAACTCCTCCCCTTCTCCAAAATCCTGAAGTCTTATAGGATAACGCCAGTTCAATAAACTGGCCAATTCTATGTACTTTAATGTACTTGAATTGTGTCATCTATGCAAATACTGACAGGTTTGGCGGGCAGTATAAATGCAATGAGAGCGGCAATTGCATCAGAATCTTCTCCTTCACTTCACTGATCTATTCATGTGAATTTCCTGAAGAAGAAATGGAAAGTACTTACTGTGGGATTTGCGCGGGGCCCATAAGCCCGCCGAATACCTACAACACTGCGTCGCCAGCCTGGGCCTGGCCCACGCTGAGGCGGCCTTTGCTGACCTGGAGTGCACTTACTGTGCGGACCTGCCGGTCTGTATTCTACGAGCTAGGAGGGACCTAGCTTGTGGTTTGACGGGGACGAGGCCCACTGCCACCTGTGAACCGCTGGTGGCCCCCCCCACTAATGCCCCATTCCCCAGTCCTCTTCACGAATGACGCCTTCTGCCCACTCGCACTTGTGCCCTTAGCGGATCTTAGTCTGCCGTCCAAGCCCTGCAGACTAACTGCTCACCTAGCTGATAAGGCGTACACTTCAGCAGGTATAGCTGTGGCAAGGCGCCAGTCTACGCATACGGCCGCTTCTGGTCAGTTTCTGGATGCGTGGAGAGCTATTCTAGGTGCTTCGAGTTGGCTGTTGCACGTAATACAACACGGGTATTCTCTCCAGTTCAGACACAGACCACCCTGCTGCAACGGTGTGGTTTGGTCCATGACGTTGTCTCAAAATGCCCTGGTTCTGAGAGAAGAAGTTGTCAGTCTGCTTGCAAAAGGAACGATAGTAAGGGTCCCTCCGAGCAAGCTGCAAAGCGGGTTTTACAGCCGCTATTTTGTGGTGCCCAAGAGAGATGGGGGACTCCGTCTGATACTGGACCTGAGACCCATCAACCGAGCGCTTCAAAAGCGCGTGTTCAAAATGACGACCCTTCAGCAGATCCTGGCACAAATTTGTCCCGGAGACTGGTTTGCTTCAGTGGATTTGAAGGATGCTTACTTCCATATTCGGATTACGATGCACCACAGGCGATTTCTGAGATTCTCATTCGAGGACAAAGCATACCAGTATTCAATTCTTCCATTTGGTCTGGACTTGGCACCGTGCACGTTTTCAAAATGCATAGATGCATAGCTTTCCTCCCTCAGAGCGAGTGGTATGCGCATTCTAAATTATCTGGGCGACTGGCTTATTTTGGCCCATTCAAGAGATGTGCTTATCAGTCATATGGACATGCTGCTTCGCCATCTGGAGTCCCTGGGACTGTGTGTGAATGTACAAAAGAGTGTGCTCACCCCGAGTCAATCTATTACATATCTGGGCATGTGTTTCGACACGATGGAGATGCTAGCTCACCTCGAGAGCGCATAGAGACCATCACTGCAGCTCTGCACCAGTTCAGACCGGGCATGTCTGTTCCTCTGAGGGAATTCCAAAGGCTCCTGGGACTTATGGCGTCAGCGTCGTCAGTTTGTCACCTGGGTCTTCTGCACATGAGGCCACTACAGTTGTGGCTGAAAGATCGAGTCCCATAGAGAGCTTGGACAGTGGGGCATATGCGCATCAAGGTCACTCACAGCTGCGTCAGCGCTCTGAGACTGTGGCGCGAAACAGAAATATTCAGTAAGGGGTTTCCCCTAGGGCTGGTGACAGCGCACACTGTGGTAACAACGGATGCGTCAACCACAGGCTGGGGAGCAGTGTGCCAGGGCGTTCCAACTTCAGGCCTGTGGTCAGAGTCTCAGAGCAGGTGGCATATGAACCGCTTGGAACTGAAGGCAGTATCCTTAGCTCTAATGCATCCAAGCTCGGTCCGGATGATTTGGGATCACATCGGGAAGGGGGAGGTGGATCTGTTTTTCGACGAGCAAGAATGCACAATGTCCAATGTTCTTTTCGCTGTCCCACTCCCCGCTGATGGAGGACGCTCTGACGTCGCGCTGGCCGAGAGCCAGACTTTATGCATTTCCCCGGTGAAAATTTTGTATTATGCAAAATCAGGGAAGAGAAAGCGTCCGTGATCCTCATTGCCCCGAATTGGCCGAATCAACCTTGGTTTCCGGACCTCAGGGAGATGCTGGTGGCTCCCCCTTGGCTGATTCCCCTCAGAAAGGTCCTATTGTCTCAAGCGGACGGCCCGATATGGCACCCCAGCCCGGAGCTGTGGAGCCTGCATGTGTGGCTGCTTCAGGGATCCTAGAGGAGCTGAACACCCTGCCTCCTCGTGTGATTGAAACGATCACGAAATGTCGAGCACCCTCTACAAGGTGTTTGTACGTACTTAAATGGGGAGTGTTTGTGAAATGGTGCTGTGATTAAGATATCGACCCTGCGAGCTGCCCCGTGTCGGATGTTCTACGTTTTCTGCAGCACAAGCTCAATAATGGGAGCCTGCCATCAATGCTGAAGGTTTATGTGGCTGCTATTGCTTCATTTCGCTCCCCGGTTGATGGGCAATCGATTGGGAAGCATGCGCTGGTGGTCAGATTTCTTAAGGCGGCACCGTCGGTGCCGCCGTGGGACTCGGCGCTGTTTCTGAAAGCTCTCTCTCTACCCCCATTTGAGCCCCTGGATTCTGTTGCTATGAGGGACCTCTCCCTCAAGACTGCTCTGCTTATTGCCCTTGCCTCGGCTAAGTGCATAGGAGATTTGTACGCGCTCTCAGTGGATGAGTATTATATTAGTTTTGGACCCGGGGACTGCAGTGTTACTCTCCGGCCCAAAGCAGGTTACGTGCCAAAATCTCTTTCTACCCACTTTAAGGCACAGGGAATTTCTTTGCCTGCTTTATCTGCTGAGCCATTGGCCTCACGTGACGCCAAGGCTCAGAGCGTCATTTGTCCTGATAGGGACTTAAGGATCTATATCGACCACTTGGCCGCCTTTCGTCAGGCTGACCAGCTTCTTGTGTGCTATGGTGGCTGTAACACAGTTCGTAGGTCGGGAAGAAGGAGGTGAACCGGCGAACATTTAAACTTAACTTTAATAATAAAATAAACACAAAACTGAAAATAGCGCGACAGCCCCTCACAGACGACTGCCGCACACAAACAAAACAACATAAAATCTAGACCTGGTCCTCTCTCGTCTTGTATCGTCGTCACTCCTCCTTTTGTCCTTCTGGAGCTCCTCCGTGGGACTCGAGACCGGTGAGTGACGTAGGTGTCGCTCATTATCAATTACTCCACTGGTCTTGCTCCGTTCCCACACTCGTCACATACCCCCATTGCCCCTCGCAGGCCAGGAGGTACCCATGAGACTGTGCTCTACTCACCCCGTCACGGCAGCCGCAGCACCTGGGAGTAAGGACAGACGAGGCAAGGCAAGGCAAGTTCAGCAAGTAGATTCAACAGGAGGCATTTTCTTTCTCTTCTGTTTGAATGTGGGCAGCTGTGTTTTCCCTTCTCCGGAATGTAAGCTGCTGGCAGTGGGAGGCAAAAGTCTTCTTTTTCGTGGTATTATTCCAGTCCCAGAGAGTTTTTAGTTTTAGTGTTTGTGCCAAAAATATGTTGTTTGAGCACTGTGCTGATCTGCTGAAGTAAAAATCTTAGAAAAATCAAAGAAAAGTACAGAAATAGGGAGCAAAGCGCAGAGCAGTAAGCAAAAACGTCCGAACAGTAGCGAAGCCGGAAGGCGAGAGAAAAGGAGACGGAAGGATGAGGAGAGACAGAGACGAGAGAGGGGAGTGAGGAAAAAAAAAATTCTCAGTCCGGATCCCATGTCATCTCCATTTGGCTCAGTAGTGGACGTCATTGGCGTGCATGCCATAGCTGATGCTATCCATCTAACGCTTCTTTGGTCTTCCTCATTTTTTCTGTGATTGGTGCAACTCCAAGTCTTCATTTATTGCATGGTCAATGCAGGTCAGTCCAAGCAATCACTGGAGCAACTTCTACTCCATGACATGCAGGGCCTGTTCATGCTTCTTGGTCATTGCACCGTATAGGGTGACTAGGTGCACAACAGTCTTGTAGATCTCCGCTTTGATGTATTCTGGCATTTTCTTGTCACATAGGACCCCAGTGACCTGTCTCCACTTCAGCCACGCCTCAATGATTCTTGCCCTGCTATCTGGGATGGTATCATCGGGACCAAGAATCCCATATATTTGAATTGGGTGCTTTTCTTCAAATCCTGGCTGTTGATGCTGATGCTGCTGTCAGTCTAGGGGCCAAACTCCAAGTATTTGATCTTTTTGGTGTTGAGCCTTATTCCGTTGACCTTGAGCCTGTGACATGACCTTCATGCTCGCATTCGATTTTGGAGTGGCGTGTGGGTCTTGTTCGCTTGCGCTACATTGTCCGCCTACAGGAGGGTCCAATGGCCAAGCTTGCAGCTTTGGCCATTACGCATCCCGATGTTGATGGTAGCCAATCGAAAATGCTGGACTTGCTTCTTTGGCCTGCCCCATCCTTGAGCAGGTAGCCCTTGCATTTTGTATCATGCGTCACCTCAAGGGGATGCCCAAGCTTGATGAAACAAATTTGATGACAACATTGCACATAAGACGCAACAACAGAGATCTGTCGCTGGTGGCCCCCACTGTTCACCAAGTTTCCCAAAGGTTCCTTGTTACCATCTTGCACTGCAAGGAGGTGGTGGTGGGTTTTTGCCAGCCTTATATTTTCTTTAACTGTATGCCTCAATATGTGTTGGGACACACTTGGTTTCATTTTTAACTTTGTAAAAAGAAATGAGACCCCACTGTGTCTAATTGTTGCTGTGTTTTAGTCTAATTCAGGGTGAATCTCCTGAGCCCAGCTGTGTGTCCATAAAGAGTTATGAATCAAAGGATACACCAGTTAACTTCGGGGAATCTTCAGTTGATATCAGGTGAGTATAGTATCATGGTTTAGAATAGTATTTTTCCATGGTTAATTATATAAAAAAATTTGGATAAAGAAAGAAATATTAAAATTCTAAGCAGAGGCTTTCTCACTGGATAGTGGATGCTATTGTGTAGGTGTATGCGAGCCAGGGACAGGAATGCCCTCTCAACATCAGAGCCCTTAGAACACAGGCTATTGCTTCATCATGGGCCTAGTCTAAAGGCACATCTATTCGGGATATATGTTTTGCAGCTGGCTGGTCTTCTCAGAACACTTTCATTAGGTTTTACTAGCTGGATGTGCCATCCTTGGTATCCCAAATGCTTTCGGTGAGTCTCTAACTTCTTTTTGCTAGGCTTGTCGTTAGCGCAGTTGTTACCATGTTGCTGTTGGCACTGTGCAGGCTTATGGACATTTGGACATATGGACAGAAATATTACTGGTTTCTTTTTTGTATGAATGAAAAATATGTATCACATTAAGTTGATTAGTTTATGTTAAAAATGTTTATGCAACTCAAATACATAAATTTAGGCTTAAATCTATGTTTTGGGTGAAATTTTATTTTTGGTTCATTTGTTGCATTATTTTGTTTACCTGTCTCTCCTGGCACATTCCCATTCATACGGGGTCCGCCGCTTTGCTGTGTCATCTCCATTTGGCTCAGTAGTGGACGTCATTGGCGTGCATGCCATAGCTGATGCTATCCATCTAACGCTTCTTTGGTCTTCCTCATTTTTTCTGTGATTGGTGCAACTCCAAGTCTTAATTTATTGCATGGTCAATGCAGGTCAGTCCAAGCAATCACTGGAGCAACTTCTACTCCATGACATGCAGGGCCTGTTCATGCTTCTTGGTCATTGCACCGTATAGGGTGACTAGGTGCACAACAGTCTTGTAGATCTCCGCTTTGATGTATTCTGGCATTTTCTTGTCACATAGGACCCCAGTGACCTGTCTCCACTTCAGCCACGCCTCAATGATTCTTGCCCTGCTATCTGGGATGGTATCATCGGGACCAAGAATCCCATATATTTGAATTGGGTGCTTTTCTTCAAATCCTGGCTGTTGATGCTGATGCTGCTGTCAGTCTAGGGGCCAAACTCCAAGTATTTGATCTTTTTGGTGTTGAGCCTTATTCCGTTGACCTTGAGCCTGTGACATGACCTTCATGCTCGCATTCGATTTTGGAGTGGCGTGTGGGTCTTGTTCGCTTGCGCTACATTGTCCGCCTACAGGAGGGTCCAATGGCCAAGCTTGCAGCTTTGGCCATTACGCATCCCGATGTTGATGGTAGCCAATCGAAAATGCTGGACTTGCTTCTTTGGCCTGCCCCATCCTTGAGCAGGTAGCCCTTGCATTTTGTATCATGCGTCACCTCAAGGGGATGCCCAAGCTTGATGAAACAAATTTGATGACAACATTGCACATAAGACGCAACAACAGAGATCTGTCGCTGGTGGCCCCCACTGTTCACCAAGTTTCCCAAAGGTTCCTTGTTACCATCTTGCACTGCAAGGAGGTGGTGGTGGGTTTTTGCCAGCCTTATATTTTCTTTAACTGTATGCCTCAATATGTGTTGGGACACACTTGGTTTCATTTTTAACTTTGTAAAAAGAAATGAGACCCCACTGTGTCTAATTGTTGCTGTGTTTTAGTCTAATTCAGGGTGAATCTCCTGAGCCCAGCTGTGTGTCCATAAAGAGTTATGAATCAAAGGATACACCAGTTAACTTCAGGGAATCTTCAGTTGATATCAGGTGAGTATAGTATCATGGTTTAGAATAGTATTTTTCCATGGTTAATTATATAAAAAAATGTGGATAAAGAAAGAAATATTAAAAGATTAGTTCACTTCCAAAATAAAAAAATCCTGATAATTTACTCACCCCTATGTAATCCAAGATGTTTATGTCTTTCTTTCTTCAGTCGCAAAGAAATCCTGGAATGTTTTCCTCAAAAACATTAATTTATTTGCGGCTGAAGAAAGAAAGTCATAAACATCTTGGATGACATAGGGGAGTGTAAATTATCAGTACTTTTTATTTTGGAAGTGAACTAATCCTTTAAAGAAGTACTTCATACAAAACTTGCTTCATATTAATGTAGTGTATATTTGTGAGGAACTAATTTAAATTGATCAAACAGAAATTATCTGAAATTATCTCACTGTAGTTCGGTGTTTTCCAATCCAGTTCCTGGAGGCACACCAAAAGTACACATTTTGGATGTCTCTTTTATCTGAACCATCTACTTCTGAGAGGAATTCCAGAAAGCAGGTTATGTGACATACATGTAGTAAACTAATTTATAGGTCACATTTTACATTTAAATGAATGGCCGGACCAAGGGTTTCCCAGCAGAACTTTGCCCGGAGCATCATATTCCCTCCAAAGACATGAACTCTGGTGCCATTATTTCCCCAGGTAAATGGAATACATGTACACTGCCCAACACTGGTTTCTGGTTTGTCCCTTGTCCCTCCTCTAGGCCACTATTGGTAAATTCTCACCACTGCTGACCGGGAGCAACCCACAAGCCTTGCTGTTTCAGAAATATTGTGACCCAGTCACCTTGCCATAACAATTTGTCAAAATCACAAATCTTTATTCCTGCACATTTCTTCTGCTTCCAACACGCTGATTTACGAGAACTGATTGTTTGCTTAACATCTAATCTACCCAGACCTTAATGTGTGGCCGTGTTAGGAGATGGTCGGCAATATTTGCTTCACCTGTAACTGGTCATAATGTTTTGGCTTATCAGTTTAAATCCTTGCATGTGTTTTGGAACTGATGTACCTAGAGTAAATGAGGATTGGGTTAATGAACTGAGAGTTCAAGATACATGTGACGGTAAGTTAAACTTGCTTTCTGTTGAGTCTCTGCTTATAAGCTGATAAGTTGAATCCGGTGTGTTTAATTAGGAAGAGTTCAAAAATGTGTACTGTTGATGTGCTCTCAAGATGCAGGGTTGGGAAACACTGTTGCAGTTTATTACACTGAGAAAAATACATATGCATCCATAAATGTAGTGTTGTGTATTAAATGCTTGAATACATATTTACCAGAATTTCCAATGTTCTCAGTAACAAACAGGATGGATCAAACTCCCTAGAAAAGAAGAAGTTGGACTCTATTTTTAAGGTAGGAGTGGTTTTTGTGTTTTTGTGGGTGGGATATTTAAAAAAAATTATATGTCTCTTTGTCCCAAAGTGCATACTATCCATCCTAAATAGTTTTGAGATTAGAATAACTTTGTTGCAAAACACAGTATGTTGAAGAGAGTATGCCAGAAGTCCCTGGATGGTTACTATTTCCACAATATTTTTGTAATATTCATGCACACTCTAACATCTGATATTTCCCACAACCCATTGCGCTTTGGAGGAGAATTCAGTTCAGAACTACAAACACAAATAAGAAATACAAACATGATGAATGTGCGTGGGCATTACCCCAGTTTGTCGCCGCCTTTTCAGCCCCTGGTCGGACCTTGCTTTTCTACAGGCAAGTGTGCCCCTGGAGCAAGTGTCAAGGCACGTTGTTGTCACAAAAGATGCCTCCAAGATTGGCTGGGGTGCTATATGCAACGGGCACGAGGGTACTCTCTCATCGCATGTTGCAACTCGCCCGCCATCTCCTCCTTTGGAGTCAAACATGGCTCAAATCGCTGCATGCCGTTCATGTTCCAGGAGAGCTTAATCATGGAGCTGACTTGTTCTCATGACAGCTTACTCTTCCGAGAGAATGGAAACTCCAACCCCAGGTGGTCCAGCTGATTTGGAGTCGTTTCAGGGAAGCCCAGGTGGGCCTGTTCACTTTTGCCAGGAATCCTCCCACTGCCAGCTGTTCTACTCCTTGACCGAGGCCCTCCTCAGCCCGAACACACTGGCACACAGCTGTTGCACACAGACTCTGTGCAAGATCAGGAAGGATAAGGAGCAGGTCCTGCTCGTTGCACCATATTGGCCCACCCGGACCTGGTTTTCCGATCTCATGCTCCTCGCGACATCCCCTGTCTGAAGAATCGCCCTGAGAAAGGATGAGACGTGGCAGACCTCATTGACGTTTCACAGGCTGTGATAGACTAGGGGTGCACCGATACCGATACATCGGTATCGGGCCCGATACTGAGCTCCTGTACTCGTACTCGTACTCGTTAAAATGCCCCGATACCAAATGCCGATACCACACAGCATGTGATAAGTGCCATATTCAGACAATGAAACACCGACAACAGAACAACAGACAGCAGAATGGAGTTATTAGAGATTAAGAATGTCTACGAAGTATATGTATGCAATAAATATAATGTTAAACATTCAGTATTAACGCCTGTATAGCTGATGTGCACAAGCTGATAAGCAAAGCACGCTGAGTGGATTGAGCGCGCGGCGGCGCAGATGCACGAGCTTGAAATGCGCTAGGCTGTACTATTCTGCATCAGTACAAATACGTGCACGTGTTGCGCGTGTTTTGCTTGCTTGAGTGTATCTGCATTATATGAGTGGCTTTGGAATATAAATCGCAGCACGTTTCAGATGAAAAAAAATGTGACTTCTATTTCTAAAAATATATCAGTTAGGAGATGTATAACGAGTGGTTCCCTGTATTATTACAGCAAAGCGTGTGATTACAGTACTAAGCCGCTGCAATGGAGCAGCTCTATTGATATTAAATTAAAGATGATGTACCATAGAGCAAAACAATTAACAGTGAAAGTAACAAAAACTTGTAAAATACATTTTAATGGGCATAATTAAGGGTGAAAATAACCAAAGGATATACAGTCAAACCAAAAATTATTCAGAGACCAGATATCATTTTTGATATGTTTTACTAGTGGGTGCAGGACCCTATAGTTCATTTATGTGTAGCATTTGGACCAATCAGACACACAACTTTTTGTTATATTTAACAAATAATATCGAACTCCCCGTCACCTAACCAAATGGCCAATTACGAGGGTCTATGGACCCTTCCCCCGAAATGCACCTAACACCTCAGAAA